GGGGGTGTATGTGTGTCCGTGTCCGTGTCCGTGTCCGTGTCCGTGTCCGGCCGACTAACCCGGGTGTTTTCCCGTCCTAGGCGTCTCCGGGACAGCGGAGCGGAGCGGAGCGGGCCGGCCGAGCGACCGCAGCGTAAGTGTGACATTTATTTGGAGGTTGTGACCCCGACCCGCGCGTGTCGCTGTTTGCACGGGGGGCGCGGGCCAGGGGTGCTAGCCGCGCCGCGCCGCGCCCCGCCCCGCCCCGCGTGAGGAGCAGGGCTGGAAAAGTCGGCTTGTCCGCTTTTTAATTTGACAAACAGCCAAGCCCCCCAACCCCATGGCGCTGCCTCTGGCAAGCGGAGCCACCAACTTGGAGCTGCTCCCTGAAGAGCTGCGACCTCCTGCTCGCGCTCCGTCTAGGCGGAGGATATTTCCCTTGGCGTGGGCCGGCGCGGGGGATGGGTTCTGCCTGTTTACACGCGCGCGTGCGGCCAGAGGGCCGGGGAAACGCGGCACCGTTACGGAGACCGCCGGCCGCGCTCCCTTGCACCTTTGCGGCAGGCTCTGCCCCCTCGCTCCCCACGACGGGGACATGTGGACTCCACAAATGCAGACGTGCGGGAGCGCATCTGTCTGGGTAGTTCACGCAAACCAAACGTCCCCCGGCTCTGCCGTGCTCTTCTCCCCTCACGCTCGCAGCTCCTGCGTTCTTGTCCTTGTTTCTGCGCTCAAAGTGACCGGAAAAGGAGGAGGGCAGCTGCAGCTCCTGGGGTCAGAGGTGCTACCGCAGCCCGCCCCTCCCCGTGGCAGCTCCTGGGGTCAGCAGCAAAGCCAGAGCAAGGAGCCGGCCGCACTCTTACTCCTGGCCTTTCCCACGGCCACAGGCAGCTCAGCGCCGGGGTAAAGCCACAGCCGCTCAGGGCAGAACACGAGGGGAAGAGCGCTGCAGAAGTTGGCGGAGGAGAGGAGACAGATTTGTCCCTCGCCCTGGTGACAGGCGAGTATTAATTGGGGGGGGGCAGGGAGAGGACTTCCCACTTCCGCTTGGTGCAGAAGGGCAGGGGGACGGAGCCTGCCGGGTGATCCGAACTGTCCTGCAGTTGTCCCGCTGCACAAGCACTGAAATCGGGGGAGCTGACTACAGACGGCTGAGACGATTGCAGAGAGTGGTGACAAACGGCAGACCGTGCGTGCTGTGTGACTAGGCACACGTTGGCTCTAGATGCTGCCTAGGAAATTCGGCTGTCCTGGAAAGAGTTATTGTGCTGTTGGGGGGAATGATGTTCCATTATTAAAGTGTGTATAAAAAAAAAAAAAAGAGAGGAAATTTTAATCCTGTTTAAGTGGAAATCTCAACTATGCATCACTGTGGTTGTCTCCATTTTATTTATATGCTCGCATGCACCTTCATGGGTATAAATACCCAGTATCTTTTGTGTGGGTCTCTTGAATGTGCTTAACAGCAGGGAGGTCTCCAGCCTCTAGTCAGCCTTGAAAAGAGCGTAGGTATTTTCATCCAGTAAGAGCTGGCCGAACACTTTGGTCACTGGATCAAGTAGTACGACACATTTCACCTCTGTCTGGTCTCAGATGTGTGTGTTCGCAATTCCACCATTGCACTGGTGGAGCAAACGCTGGATACAGCGTTATACAACTTGAGACTGAACTTACTTAGTGAGCTAACTTTTCTTTAACAAACTGGTAAAGACAAGAGGATTAGAGATGACCAGGCTGCAAGGTCCTTACTAGTGCAATGAGGAGCCCGTAGGTCTCCACGTGCACTGGGGTGAATGAGTCCAGGTTTCCTTCATCCTGCACGAGCATACAGTCCGCCTGGACTGGAAATAGTCTGACTCTCCAGCAGTTCAGGATGAAAAAGCTTCTCCCCAAAACACGAGTGGGATGAAGGGGGCAAGGAACGGCCCCTGAATTCAATAGGCCACGCACCAAATTAACTGTAGACCCCCCATCAGCAAGAGCCGGAAATACCACTTGGAGTTAAAGATCTGAGGGACCTACCGGACGATCTGGCCCACTGGTGCTGGGGACCGGGGACGTGAGCACGGTGCCTGTGTGTCGGGGGAAATTCCAGGCTGTTTTTTAACCTCTGTCTTAAGAAGGACAATAAATAATTGTAAAACATAATGCTGTTTAGAAAGAGCTTGGATAGGAACTGTTGGTATCGTTTTCTGCTTCTTGGAAATATGTCTAGAGAATTAAAACAAAACATGAAGGGCCAGAGTCCTTGAAGTAGCTCCAAATGATAAAGTCTGCCATTCATGTTAAACACAGTGTGCATTGTGAGAAGACAGGTCAATTTGAAGGCATTTGTCAGGTTTCCAGTTCCCTCTGCTCTTTTGCAATGAAATCTGGGATCAAACCTTGGTACTCGAGTTGGAAAGGGGCTGCGGTTTTCTCAGCATTTATTGCTTCAATTTACCTGCACAAGGCTCGGATTGTATTTTTATTGAGAAAGTTTGTTTACATCCAGCTGAATGGGGGGGGGGGCCGGTTAACATGAAACCTCAGAGTCGGTGCGTTAATTTAAGGGTTCGAAAAGGTACAAGCGGCGTAGAGGATCGGAAGCAACCAACCCGACTGCAAAAGAGCGAAGTGAGGGGCAAAAGCGATCTCGTACGTGGCGCCCATTTGAACACGCCTGGCAAGCGGCACGGGAAGAGAGACGCCAACAGCAGCACGTTCATTGTCAGGATGCAGAATTTCAGCAGGGCTGGAGAGGCATACTGCTGAGCAGCCCCAGACAGACGTGCGAGCATCTTCTGCAGGCATGTGCGTGTTGTGTCATGGGCACCGCTAAGAAATGTACATGCCAGAGGGATGGATGGATGGATGCATTTCTTGAGAGAGACATGGTGTAAGATTTGCAAGAGGATCTGCAGTAAAGAAAATCAGGGAGCTGTATGATCTCTCCCGGGTTCTCATGCATCTCTCTCTCTCCCTTTTTTTTTAAATTCAGTAACATCTTTTTAAAAATGGATATCTGAATCTTTTCTTTTTTTAGACCACTGGATTATCTGAGCTGTTAGGTATGAGGGGACATCGGTGGGCTGGTCCAGCCACCTCACCCTCCTGGGTATGTCACTGCATGGATAAGTCTTAGGGCTCTGGCACATTTCTAAGACAACCGCTTTCCTATTTTGCAGGCCTTAATTCAAGGTCTGTCAGACTTTCCTGCAAGGGGAATAATGAACGCTTCCTATGTAGCTATATACCCCACTCTAATTTAAAAGAAAAATCAGGAAAAAGTCTTGGCATTTAATTCGGACGCACTAACCAGATAAATCCTGAGCATCGTGGCTTTGTGACCTGGGGTTTCTGCTCAAAATACTCTATGGATGTATTTTACAACTGCACTTTTTTATGCCTGTTTCACCTTGTGCCTCCTGTGTTGTCATCAAGATCAGAAATTAATAAACATTTTTTTAAACCACTGTCATGTTCAATTTCCTCTCTCTTAAATACAAAAACCTCAATAAAACTCAAATGTATTGGAACAACCTTAAAAGGAAAAGCAAAGACTTAATTACAAACTAACAGAAGTATAAAACAAATTGTTCAATTTTTTGGTGGTGGGGGGGGGAGAGTTTGTTTTCAAGCCTCTTTTCCAATGTAGCCTCCACCAAATTCAGCATGAATGTATCAAATGCAGTAAGATATTTTGCATCTTTTCAGCGCAAGAAGGGCCCTTCCACCTGTGAGCCCTTAAGAAGGAGGGGCTCTTATTCACAAGTCACAGAAACTTCCCCAAATACACGCCAGGAACAAGTTCACAGCCTTCCAAATCTTTAAAGGGAACATCTTCAAAGGCTTGCAATGGGAGTCAGGCACCTAGCTGGCCTTTCTGCCTTTGAAAGTCTTCCCTCCTAGATTTGTTTCAGAACTGAGATGGAAACGGAGGGAGGGAGCATGCGCACGACTGAGTCATTCTTCTCTACCTTAGCCACCTGCGCAGGCCCTTCCGGCTTTACAGCAACCTCGTTCCCCAAACTGAAGTTAGAAAATGGTGAGAAACCAACCTGCTGTGATGGATGGGGACAAAGTACATCTGCATCCCCTTGAATTAAATTACATTCATCTCATCTTTTTATTTAAGAAAAGAAAATTGTCTAAGGGCACAAATTATAATTGCATAAAAAAGTCTGCTGGGAAAAAGGTGCGTTCCCAAAGACCGGCTCTTCTTTTTACAAATTCCCACACGTGCGTGCGTTGTGAAATTTATCAGACGAGACATTTCAAAGAATTGCACCGCTCTATGTTTCCGAGTATTGCCCATCTTGAACGTACGCATATTTGACATTTGTAAGTCTCCTATGTGAGACATGCTTATTTGAAGACGGGATGCAGCGTGTGACTTCAATCAGCGAGGTACCCTGCAGCTAACCCTGACCCTCCCCTATTAGCCAGTATCGCCGCTTTGATTTGTGCCCTCCGAGGGCCGTGCTATGGGAACTGAACACCAGGGAGCTACAGAAACTGCGGAGGGAGGGTCCTGCTCCTCCCTTACCAATTGTTCGGATCAGCAAAACGCTCCTTAAAACAGCTCGGCACCCAGGCTGAAGAGGATGGATGGGATGCAAATACATGGCAGGTTTGAAAGGAAGTGCCTCACTTAAGGGACTCCCTTCTCAGCACCCAGATCAGCCCAGGAATTCCTCCTTTTCTCCTCTGTTCACATTTCCTTCGCTGCCCCCTCCACCCCACCTTTTACTGGAACGCATATGCCTGGGATTGCGTGTGTTTTCTATCAGTCCTGAAGTGTTTTACAGATGGAGACTATTTGGGGGCACATCTAGTCTGTCCGTTTGCAGCAGGGTCTGATGTTGGTCTCTTGATGTCTTTCTAATATTTCAAATGGTGCCATAACCTCACATTTTGATTAACTCTTCTGTGCTAGAGAGGGGGAAGAGCTGAGCCCCATTTTAGATCGTTTCCTGAAAAGCCATTTTTCATCAGCTGCTTTTTGCCTCTTTCTTCTCTCCCTCCTCCCCCCCCCTGAAAAAAAAGCTGCAATAGGTATCTGCTGCAGATCGTTTTATAATCGTCTAATCTGCGATCCAGACTGTGAAGGACTGATTAAAAAAAAAAGGGGGGAAAGTCCAACCACTTGATTCAAACTGTAAGCCTAAGTTCGGGTCAAAGGTCATGTTTCCCAACTGGAGGTCTTGCAAAGTGTTTGCTCTGTAAGCTGCAGCAACCCCAGAGCCCCTCCGGATAGTCCAGCACGCGCGGATGCCAGGGCATCTCGGTGTTGTTAGAAAGAAATCGTCATTGCTACGAACAGGCCTAGAGGTGGCTGAAGCTTTTTTTTTTAATTTTCAGGAAAGGAAAGGGGAAAGCGGGTGGCCTTGTAGGGAGCCCTCCTCCCAGAGCCGGGAGAAGCTGTGCTGGAGGAAAGTATTGCTCATAATGACACTTCAGCCCAGACACTTGAATGCTAAAGGTTAAACTTACATTCTTCAAGAAAGGGCTCTTTGCCAACTTGAACTGTGTTGTGTGTTCACTACTGTCTCCTCCTCCACCCCCGATCTGTCTATAGGAATCCCACGTTTGGGATCTGGAGAAATAACCAACAACTATTTATGAACATGCACTTTCTCTGCTAGCGCTCCAGTCTGTCAGGGTAAAAACAGTCTAAGGCTCTGGTACCAAAATTAGTCATTTCTGTCAGCTAAAAGCAATCGCACAAGCAGTCGAAAAGGGACAGCTGTCATTATATCTCGTGTCCTCCTGTGACATACAGGCCACGGGATTTCACCTCCTAATTCCTGCATCAAGCCCAATCGCTTGTGGCCTTATTTCCAGTCTGTATCTTCTAGTTAGCATTGACTGCAGGCAGAAATGGGAAGCCTTAGATAAAAAGGATTGACAACAAAAGAAGAAACAGACTCTGGAGGCATCAAAATAATCAAACCAAGCGGTGAAACTACAGGTAAGGCTTCTGGCAGTTCGGGTTAGGAATGATGTAGGGAAAATGCTGCTAACTACCCACATCAGCCACGCAGGGCAACATTCGAGGACAAACTTTGGCATAGTTTTAAAAGCTGTGCCTGCATGCAGGTAGGTCTATGCTATCAGGAAGAGCTCATACTCCCTACACTTTGACTGTTTGCCCCCAGCGGCATTTTCCACCAAGGAAATGGACATAACAGGACGATTTGCTATGCTTTCCAAAGCGTCCTTCTTGCACGGCGTCACATGACACTTGCTAAGGCCAGGCGGTCATTGGTTGCAGCGGGAAGAAAGGCTTTAACTCCTCGCAAGCAGCGGAGAAGAGACCCGGGCTAGAAAGATGAAGTGAGCAGGCTGAGGAGGAGGGTACAGCAGGGCCAGGGGGTGTGGTGGAGACCAGGACGCGATCATAATTTGGATTCAGATTTTGCTAGGAGACTTTAAGGCGGGATTGGGGCAATATTTTTCTATTTCCTGCAGCTACCGGGGTTTTTCTAGCATTCTGCCTCCCTTCAGACAGTCATCAACCGGAGGGTATTTCGTGGCACGGTCCCACTTCTGCCGTTTGGCCCCTGGGGAAGTTCACACTTTTTAATATCTCAGATCAATTCTGCAAGGGCTGGTGCAATAGTCAGCAATCAGAGACAGGAAGCAATGACTCGGCACGGCCGTAACCAACACACTGACACAAGTAGGACAAGAACAATAAAGTCCTGTAAAACACGAATTAAG